AATCCGCCGAAACGTCAGCTTAATCGTGAACAAAGAATAGTAACACCTCGCGTTTGCTCAACAAAAATACGAAGAAAATCACTTGATCAATGCCGAGGTTAATAGAAAGTCGGTCGTGGCAGTTATTTCTTATTCATATGAAGTACATATATATATATATATATGTTTTTAAATAAATAAACTATGGTTGCAAAAAAAACGAGTTGAACTTCTCGCGAAGTAATGTCCAGTTATCGCAGGTATAAAGGATAAAGCTCTCGGTTTTGGTCAACCTCTAAAGGATGCGTCATGCATTCGACTTCGTTAGTCATCGTTAGAGGTGATTAAATGCATATCTGGCCCATACAACGATTAGCGGTGGCCTATCGATGCGTCGAGTCCGTGCTGCTACCTTTCGAGACAGGTCTGGTACCTATTTCCGACCCCGGAGGGATAGAAGGCTTGATGAGCCAAGAGCGCGGGGATCGACCCCTTTTGGGTGTTGCAGGCCGCAGGTAATATTATCTTTTTAATCTACAGCTTTTATCTACAGGGAGCAGATAGCACAGTGGCAGTGATCCCCGTCATCACGAGCGTGGTGCTAGTTCGATTCCGCTCTGGGCCAACCACGCCTCTCATCCCTCCGGGTTGGGAAACTGGTACCGTACTTGCTTGGTAAAAATCACTCTCTGCAATCCAATTGGGAGTGCTCCAACACAGCTACCTCAGGAGTCTGGGAAGAATTGCTGGACCAGCATTCTACGACATTCAAGATGAAATGAAAATCCTCAAGCAGCAACTGAAGCCACACGTAAAGTTGAAAGATCTTCGTGAACAATAGATGTGAGGAAACGAATTGAATGTGAAAACTTCTGGGATCCGCACAGTAGACAGGAAGGCGGGTTAAATAAATCAAAAATAAAAAAACTTTTATCTAGTGTCCTTTATTTTTTCACGGCAGGTGTTGTGTGAAATGCATATTAAAGTATTATAAATTAAGTAAGTAATTATCGTATTAAAGTATTAGCTACTTATTTCCTCCATTGCAGTCTTTTCATAGCTAGTATTAGTCTTTTTCTTCTTCATTACGTTCTAGCGTGGGCAACTTATTCTTGTACACAGTATTCACTACTCTTCTGCTTTCAAAATAGCAGTAGCAAGCTTTGCAGAACTAAATTATTTAAACAGCATCTATTTTTAAAGGGAAACCTCCGCAATAGAAATCATTAAAAACCTATAACATGAGTCCAAAACCAATAAAGAATGGCACAAGAAAGTAATATTAGCGAAATCACATTCAAGTCGATCACCTCCCAATGTCCGCCTCCTCGTGAAATGGCGAACCCTAGCTTAAATTACAGTGCTTTAACTTTTACTTACTGCCTACTCTTTTGTCCTGGCAGGCGACGGCTTGAAATGAGACCAAAATGATGCTGAGATATGAGCAAAGCCAGGAGCATTAACACCCCTATTGCTGTACTTCACATCAAGTTAAATACTAAGCGCTCCGCATGTAAGCAAAAAATGTTGTCATACGTTAAGAGAAGCCTTATTCTGCTAATATTTTCCCATACCATTTAATGGTGTACTTAAGTAAAACATACTTGAAGATTGTAGCTAATTGGTAGAGAAAATGTCGTTGAAGAAAAGAAATTCAAAAATTGTAATTTCTTTGTAAATTCCACCACAGTAGGAAAAAACTGGTTAAGAGCTTGAATTTCCAGTCTCTACGAAGAGCCAAGCGAGCTAGAGTGCAAATTCAATTTGCGTGTTAATTTGCGGGTACGGCAAGATCTCCTTTTTTCCAAGGCTCGAGATGGCCGTAGCAAGGCTTTGCCTACTACTCGATCGCCGCAGATAGCCGCCGACCCATGTGGGTCGGAAGGAAGTTTTTCAGCTCGCGACTGTGTTAATGTCATTATACTGTTCGTTCTACCAGTGACGATTTCTGGCATTGGTGTACCGTTAGCTAAGCTTTTGGATAGATATTTCGAACTCCTTCATGGCAAATCCCTCTTGTGCATTGCATTATGCAACGAAAATGTTATACTAATACAAGTAGTGCGAAGAAAACGAACCAGTGAGAGCAGTTATAAGGATAGATACTGCCGCGTCAGACATGCACTCGCCGATCCTCTTTTCCAGAGGAAGTGCCCGCGAAGTTCGTTTCACTGCGGCCACCATCAGAAACATGTTGTCAGTACCAACAGCTGAAAGTGTATATGTTCTTTGAATCAAACCAAATGGAATTTGTTAAAACGCGCTCAGCTTTCTGAGATGAAAGGAAAGCTCGGCATCATCAATGCAATTGCGGTATTTCACATTCTAAGAATATTATATGACTGAGAACGCATTAAACGTTCAACGTCAACTCTATAAAGCTCAGTCTTTCACTTCCTGATATGAAAGGAATTTGAACCTAATTTGCCCACTCACCAACGACGAGGAATGGCATCACGGCTACGATGTCATTGTACTGCACGTCGAGCAGTATCAGACCGCCCATGGCACTGGCGATGCCCATACCAGCGTTAATCACGCCAAAAATCGACAGTATTGGCTTTGACAGAACCCAGTCCACATAGAAAGTACCTACACCAAATAGATTGGAATGATTAGAAACAGCTTTGGCAACAAAAGGAGGTAGGACTTATAAAAAAAACACGTTCCGGAAAGAACTCTTCAGCTCAGTCGCCTTTTCTTTTACATTTCACTTTGCTCTTTATTCCAACCGATCAATTCCTCATTATCAACAGCTTTTAAATATACGTAAACGATTTTGCAGCAAGACAACTCACCTTTAATAGTGACCAGTGAACAAATCACAGCAAAGATCATTAGAATCACAAAGGCCATGACGAATCTAAAAATCACAATAAGTCCAGACCTGACGGCTAGCAAGGTTTTGCCTCTCACCTTGGCATTAAACTGTCAGCATTGCGCTTCAATTCCTCAGCAAGGGTTTGAGAGTGGAAGTACGTTATGGAGATGTATGGATCTTCTGGATAATTATCCATATGGATTTTGAATGCCTTAAAATATTAACGCTTTCGGGCCTATTTCACAATTATTCATTTGTTTGGTCTGTAATCTCCGCTATGACTACTGAGTTTTGAAAAATACAGTAAAGTGGTAAAGTGCCTTTTTTACAGATACAACATTTATCTACATTATATGTAAGCCATGCAAAGTTCAGCGGCCATTTAAAGAAATTCCTCCTTAATTTTATCTTCACCTTTTCCAATTGTTTCAATAAGACCACTTTAGAGGTTTTTTCTAACCTTCTCCCAAACTCCAGAGACGTAGGAAACGTTGGTTGGAAAGAACTTCAACTGATACACCAGCAGCCATGCTTTAGCCGATGCTAAGATTACGGTATTGTTGTCGTCCTTACTGAGTGAAACCCCACCAAGACCAGCACCAAGATAACCGCTCCTTAAACAGCATTTATTTTTGTTTTTTCATCTATGACCTGAATTAAGAATGCGAATAAAAACGGAAAAGAATAGGAAAGAATCCGCGACGAAAAATGAGAAAAATCATGTGAACAGAAAGCATTTGCCCTGTAAATTGTGATTTTTATTCTACTAATCTAACAGTGCGATGAGGATAGCAGGAATGTCACACCTTTCAACGACGTTCTACTTTCCGAAAACATCCAACTGAGGTGAGAAAATAATAGTGTCGTTTTGATTATAAGCAGAAAAACAAATCTCTACGGAAGCTCACCTGTTTCCCATTCGGAATGTAGGGTAGGTGATATTAATGCCATGATTATACAGCTCTGAGATGATTTGGATGTGGTCGTTGCCTGGACACTTTTTCTTCCAACGAAGACAAAGATCGCGATAAGTGTATGTTTTGTTTCGAAATTTCACCTAAAGACGTAATACAAAAAGAAATGATGAAAAAAAGCTTGAGTAGTACAAGTAAAATAGAATGAAGGGAAATTTAGTCTTCTATGCTTAAAGTGATGCTGCGTCACACTTACCGAGAGCATGGTTGAAAGTGAACACACGGCGTGTATAAAGTAACCTACGGCATAGATGCGTAAATATGTGTACTTTAAGAAATGATAAATAAATAGCAGATTTAAGTGGGGTGGTAACTTTATAGAGCTAACGTTCCCCGTTAACCTAAAGTAAGCACTAAGGACACCGAAAGGGTAACGCGTCGGGCATGCCATCCAGAACATTAGTAATAAAAATTTCTAGTAAGAATAACTGTCCAGAAGCATTCAGAATGTATGATAATAGTGACACGACCTTTCCATATTAAAGTTTCTTCTGGAGCTTACTGCGGAATGACGTTTAGCTGGCTCAAATTGTGCCCCTGGAGCATAAAACTCGCCTTTCTTCCTTCATAAACAAAACATAAAAAAGCAACGATAGTCACTCGAAATGGTGCCAAACATTGGTCATAGGAGAGGTTCGCTCGCACAATGCGTATAAGATGAGGAAAGCTTCAAAATGAGACATGAGTCTTCAAGAAGGAGAAGATCAAGTGGACGTATCAGCAATTAACAACAACAGTTTTAAGGCACTATTCTAAGCTGCCCATCAAAAAACTACCTAACTACTTGTAGAAAAACTTAAAAACTCAATAATTGGCTGTTATTTCAGATGTACTCGAGAGGTGGAAAAGCTTGATAAGTGGGTGAAGACTTAACTGAATTAACTGAACCAACGGCAGGAAAAGCGCAAATCCGTCCTGCGCTTTTTCTACGCAACTGGAATGACCCATTTCTTAATCGAATTATGATTTCGGAGAAAATTGAATCCTAGACGACATCTGACGACGTGCATTTCGGTCATTGGACCGAGGCTAAGCCAATTAAATACTTTGTATGCCGAATTGGCATGAAAAGACCGTTATGATAAGCTTTTCCTTCTCCTCACAAGAAATTCATATCATACGACGTCAAGAATTTCGTTGACACGGCCACAACAGAGAAGCATCCTATAAAAAATTGCAATGTTTGTCCCCAGAGATGGCCAACCGATAAGGTCCAGCCCTGCTGCATGACAGCGCGATGCTAAACTCACGTCGACGAAGTTAAATGAGTTGAGTTACGAATCACTGCCTCATCCACCATACTTATCGAAGCCACTATATGAGCTATATATACGAATAACTGTCATTTTTTCGAACATCTTGACAACTGCTTGGTGACAGAATCTTGAACAACAAATCGCTGCGAAAATATTCTTTGCATAATTCCCCGCTTCTAGAAACTTGGAATTTCACGTTGCCGAAGAAAACGAAGTTGCACCTTCTTGGGAAAAATTGTGCATTCTAATACTTTTCATGCCGAGCAATAAAGTTGTATTTGAATTGAGTTAATGCAGTCACCTTTTCTATTTACTGCCTGTTCTTTTTTCATGACAGGGTATGGTGCAAAATATAACCATAATGATGCTGAGAAATCTGCAAAACTTCGGACCTCACGTGTGTGTGGTGGGATTGAAACCGTTATTATCCTTTCCTGGGGCTAATGTGTTCACCACCACGCATAGCGAATCCTTCGTTTCGTCTATCTCTCAGGCTCCGTTAAAACACGGGTGAAGTGAGTACACTATAATTTATACTAGACGTTCAGCTTAACTTCGTTCAACGCCGATTTATGCTCCCAGATCAATCCCGTTAGCGTGTGATTGCTTATAACACCTATAGGTTAAAACATAACAACTGTATTGATTACTGAGAGCATCTATAAGTCAAAACACAACTGAGAAAAATGCAAAACGAAGGACCTGCATGATGTGGTGGTGAACACGATAGCTCCCGTAAAGGGTAGTAGCATGTTCGATTCCCACAGCAGACACCTGCGGTACGGAGTTTTGCAAATATCTCAGCATCATTGAGTTCAATTCTTTAAAAATTTGTAATTGCGTCGCTTTCTTTTTCAGCAATCGCGAGGTTGTTATCCAGCGTACGTTCACTTCCGTACAAAAACACATACAATACAACAGTAGTTGATGTTTCGGCAGTATCGCCTTCATCAGAGCCGTTTTTTTACCTGTCTTCCACTCAGGAAGAAAAGAACAGCTGATTATCATCGCACAAGATTGGCGGCTTAAAATTTATGTTGAAAAACGACCATTGTTTCTGAACGGACCTTGATTCGATTCTGAATATACATATCGAGTCTCTTGATTGAACGCGCATACTCGGGCAACAGAATGTTGCCGCCGTTCCGCGCAACCACCGTCACCTGCAATAAATGATCCTCAACCTCAAGGCATTGAGTACTCAGAGAAATCGTGATGATCGATGTCAGGTGTAGACCACCTGAACGACAAGAACGCTTTCCTGTCTATAAAATACTCACCAGCGAACTGGTAAGGTTCGTTTGTTGTTAGTTCCGTGAGAAGCTTAATAAACTAAGAAACGGTAAACTTCATGGATACGTGTTTATAATTAGATTATAAGCTATAAATTATAATTATTATAATAATAAATTAAAATTTATTCAAGTTATTTATAATGCCCCAAATCTTTTGGAATTTTTCCACATTTCTAACATATGAAGCTGAAACTGATTTCTTCTACAACTGGCGATAATTTCTCGGTAATTAGAATATTTAAGTTGAAGCTTCACTTATTTAGTCCCTTCCGTGTTTCAGATAACAGCGTAGGCGCGAAAAATGAAAAAGTGACTTTTACAGGTAGCGGGAAATCAAAATTTCATAATAATAAAATAAAATAAACTTGTACCTATCTCCTAGGCTTCATTAGAATCTGATCACTTTCATATCTACTAGTACAGCCCACTATCAGCTGAGAGATCTTAATATTTTTCAAACCACCGCCATTTATCCTTGGCATTAATAATCAAAATCATCCTGGAGTATTTAGCAAACACGAGGTTGTTACCAAACATTTTATTCGGCTAACCTTACGTCTTCATCTTCCTCAGAGCCGATGATCTGTGTCGTTGGTCTACGGTCGTCCCTGTCTTCATATGGTGTCTTTCTGGTCGTGTGGAGTTGGGTCTTCTTCACTGGAGCATCGCTCCAATGAGGCAACATCACCCGATAGTTTTCTTTTAAATAGGGCGGTTGTTGTTGATAATGATTGCCTGTTAATCCGCTGAAGAAGATTTGACTCGACACGAAAGCAAAGACACCAATCGAGAGTACGAACGACAGCGGACCATCGACTCGGAGCAACGGGTCTGAAGAAGACGAAGACGTCGGAACATTAGCCTAATAAACCTTTCTATCTACCTTGTGTCAGTTTAGTAATCTAAGGATGCATTGAGACATATCAGTTCAAAGTTTAAAGGCATCCTCACTAAACGCATCTTACTCTTTTCGCATTGCGTATCGGGCGTTACCTACTTGAATGGCCCGTTTTCACTGGTTGTAAGGGCACCAGCATAATTTCCATTTTTTCGGAGCTTTGTTGGTGTAGCGTTTGTGGTTCCCTGGAGTTTTAAGGTTAGCCAAGGCAGACTTTGCTTTAGGTTGTCACCACCCTTGTGGAATAGATGGAACTTTGCAACGATGCGACAAGTTTGATACCAGAACGGTAGTGGATCTTGGTATTAATTAGTGTTATCCCTTCAGTAATATTTTCTTCAAAAATGTTCTGGGCTCTAAATAAGCTGGTGCCAAAGATACAGTGTCCGCGGCGCTGATCAACTGAAAGGTGTGTTTTGTGTTCGATTCCATTAACCGTAGCTTAATTGATTCGATGGATATCTGCTTAATAAATTGTCAATTGCGGTAGCCTAGCGACACATCAACTCACTGTTTTCGTCCTTCCAGACAAGTCTGCTATCAATTTCTTGACTTCGGAGGGATGGAAGCCCTGGTAAGTCCGGGGCACAGAATCGAACCATTGAATGATTCAGTGTGTATTTCAGTACACCTTTAACAAGTGCGCTAGAGGCATAATTAAGAAGCCGATTAATTTGTAAACAGTAGGACAGGTGCCATGATTCACTATGAGTTACCATGGCCAATTGTTTCTGCTCAAACTCGCATACCGAGGAGTAAAACGTGCTGTCGCCAGAATTCTAACTGAACAAGAAGAAATGAACCTCACCTGTGCTTCGCGGCTCTGTGTCACTCCCCGACCAGGAACATAGTTGTCCCCACCCAAAGGCCACAGGTCATGAATTATCTGGAAGAACAGCTAATATTATCAGGCGAACATTAGCTGGGTGGCTCAAGAACTATAATGTTCTCAAAAAATAGCCGTAACCCAGTGCTATTGGTTTGTGCTTAGAAGAAGCTCGATCAATACTGTCAAATTGTTCTGGTAAACTCCCACCCCTCCTCGGTCTCTCTCTCTCTCCCTCTCATTGTGTGCAGCGCCATCATACAAGACAAGGGACAAAGGAAAAATCGTCCGGAGTTCATCAACACCTTAGAGCTGGGTAATGCATTCAACCCCATCCGTAGTTTCTCAGAGGAGATCGAACGCATAGCTAACTTTAACAATGACTTATAAGGGCTTAATGGGCAACACAAAGTTAATTTTTTTACCTTTTCAAAGATGTATGGTTGTATTTTCCTGACGTCAGAGGGATGCAGTGGTTGGTTCACCCAAAGGAGAGCGGAAACGAGTCAACAACCTTTATAGGTATAATGCAGGTCACTTCTAATCACTACGCCGCAGCATTGTCATGCTATCCATAATATTCAAAAAAAAAAACAACTTGCTTGGCGCTCAGTTTTCGATGGAGCATCGGTGGGTGTATAGAGATATATCGCGTCGGTTTGAGGATTGAGGTAGAAATAACCTGAAACAAAATCGCCAACCTATTTCTTTCTTCCTTATAAACCGCCTTCGCAGAAATTTTTCCCTCAAAAGTTTTGTTCCTGTTTAATCGGAAATGAAATGATGAAACGTTTAATAAATAGTATTCTGTAGCTTAAAAAATGGCAAAATGTAGTAATATATAGAAAAATAATTTCCAATAATTCCGATAGTTTTCCAAGTATTTCGACACATGGAAAACTCGTTGACAGTTAACTCCTGGGTGAAAAGAGTTATACTTATACTTGAACGCTGCATGCAAACTTCGAATACCAAAAAACCTACCAGTAAAATTCGAAACCTTCATAATTGTAAACATTTTTTTACATGACCCATCTTTCACATGTAATGTGCGGATTTCAGCACTTATCGCATTCATCTCGTTTCCTCGCATCCATCAACCACAAAGGCCTCTCTACTTTTCCATGTAGATTCGACTGGTGTTTCTTCACGAATACCGTTTAATGTTGGTCGACTCGATTCCCCCTGGAGACCTGAGATAGCCGGGCTGGAGCGTTCCTAGTTGGGTTGCATAGAGTGAAGTTTTTGCAGACAAGTCTGGTACCAACGTCCCGACACCGCAGTGATGACAGGCTTGGCAAGACCGAGGAGAGATCGAACCAGCACTGTGCCCCTGATGATCGTTATCATTAAAACTGTGCTACCAGCTCCCCTTTTGTGCCTGTCTTTGAGAACTTCAGGACGACTCGATTCGTTGTGCTTAAGCATTTATTTACTAGAACAAGAGAAATGGCTCACTTGAAAAACTCCAGTTTTCAAACTAAAACTGCCGAAAAAAAAACTTCAGAAAACTACTCAGTTTCATTTGTCAGACGTTCTATTCACTTGTATATCATGTAATCCCGTAAATCACTGAGTGATTGAAGCGAATAAAAACAGAGTCACCATTCGACCTTATCGAGGGATACACTAGCCTCGTGGGATCTCTTTGGTCAAGGTCAAACAAAAAGAGCGGTACCCATGGGTGGTTTAATGAGTTATACCATAGTATGTGATCACTTCTAGCTACTTGGATGGGAATGTCGAACCCTTTTCTGCTTGGCCGACTCTGAGAAGGAAATGAACCCTCTACTGTATGTCGTAGTTCGACACAGCCACATTCTCTGGTGTCAACGAGCAGGCAAACCATTCCGAGAAAACTTGTACGAAAACGTTAGCATTCCCTTAATTTCTATAGTTAATCCGAATATCTCCAAACTGACGGCACTGAATATTTCATTATAATCAGACTTTCATCCATCCATACATGTCATCTTTCATTGAAAAGCCGAAACCATGTTTCGCATACTGATAATTGGTGTGCCAAACAAACCTGTCGCCAAGTAGAGCGTGAGCAACACTGGAAACGCAATGAACGGAAACTGATGACGGGAAACGAAAGCTCCATAGCTGTGGAAAAATTTCGCTAGTGGACGCTCCAAACATCCGAATTCCATCATTTCACAAAAAGAACCAGGTCTTTTTCGCAGTCATCTGAAACAAAATTGACATCAAGTTGAAATAGTAACATCTTGAAGGATAGAAATCGGTAAGGTCAGTATAAAACATCATCATATTCCTAGATGTCGTGACAAATGAGGTGAAGAGTCCGTACAAAAGCCTTTCATTTACCTTAATATTGACTTAAAAATGGTAGACAGAGCTGTTTTTGTTTCAGAGCACTATTTATTTAAACTATAATCATGCAAGATGAAGGACTACTATAGAATTTTATACGTTCGAGATAGTATTTTTGAGTGTTAAATAATTTAATTGCGAAGCTGTCAAAAAATATCTCAGAAATTTTCTTATCCAACCGCAAAACACCATCCCCAAAACAGTAACGCCTCTTGCAATATCCCTTTCCTAAGCAATCAGTTCATTTCCTCACTTGGCCATAGGAATACTCGAAATTAAGATGACCTGTCATTACATCTTGTGTTGATTTCTGATGGAGCTTTTACCAGACAAGGCTGGAATTAATTTACTGACTTCAGAGTGATGGGAGGCTATATTTGCTGGAAACAGGATCGAACCAGTGAGCAGCAGTTACTTCATACTTCACACTAACTAATGCGCTATCCGCGCCGCGAAATCCAGTCTTTGTTAGCATACGGTAATTATAATTCTTACCTTAATTTAAATTGTGATCTCAGTTATAAATGAAGTTAATTGAATCAAGGTATCCATAAAGTGGTCACGAAGTTTCAAGCAGGGACAATAACACAGAAGTTCGCATAACATTCAAATCAAAAGATTTAGTGGTTCATGCAGACTGAGTCAAGCAACAAAAATGAGTGTTTTCAGCTAAATCATAGAAAATAAAAGAAGAACGAAGTTGAATGAGGTACTCTGCCTGAGTGCTTGTGGCCGTAGAAAATCTCAACGATCAGGAGAAAATCGTAAACAAGCAAAAAGAGGTGAAGACCGTTGTCGTTCTACCTCTATTCTTAAAATCTTAAAATGTTTTATACCTGATAATGAGGTTTTTTGTGGATAATCCAGCTAGTGAGAAAGCATGGCCATTTTAATTCCGTAGAAACAATGAAACAGACACGTAAAAATACATAGTTGAAACAAACTGGCAGAAATTCAGTATTTATCTCAACACCAGAGGTCTTTAAAGGCACTCCAGACAAGAAAAGAGTAGACAAGCAAATTGCCACACCATTTAGCGCTTCAGCAACTCCGTATTATAAGAATAAAAAATGAAGCTGTCGCCGTTGATCTATCCCTGAGGGATGCTTTATGCATTCAACTTCATTAAGCATCGTTGGAGGAGACTGAGTGCAAATCTGGCCTTCGCAATGACCCGCAGTGGCCTACTGATGTATCGAGTCAGTGCTGCTATTCTCCCAGACAAGTCTGATATCAGTTTGCCGACGGTGGAAAGATAGAGGGCTTGGTAGGCCCATGTGTATTGTATGGCGCCTCTGACCACTGGGCTACACACGCTCCTAACTCTGTATTAAGAAGAAATACTTGTAAAAGTGGCATTATATAGAAACTCAGAAGATTTTTTTAAATAGGAAAATTTAGACGAATAAGCAACATTTTCCTAAGAAAAGTCAGAAGTAAAGAAGAGCATTTGCAACACACATAGAAACATTGTCAACTTTCAAGACTACAGTGACAGCACGCGAAGTCTCTATGTAGAGAGTCACGACTTTCACAAGAGCAATGAAGAAAATTAACCACGACTATTGCAGTGACCTCTTCTACAACGACGCTTTATGAAATTAGGGATGGATATGTCGTCCTACCTATTCTCTCCTACGAAATCCGACATACTATCTCGCTGGTGAAAAATCGTACAACGTTCGGTCCGGATATGATAAGAACCAAATATCTAAATAATCCCCCACCAATGCAGTTGTACAGGAAAAGAATCTTCATGACATCAGCAACTGTCGTCCAATATGCCTGTTGTCTACAAACTTTTCATTTGAGTCATCTTCAACAAGATTGACAGAACACTGAACGAAGAACAGTCATGTGAGTGAGGCAAGCTTCCGAAATAAATTCAGTACGACAGATCACGCTCACACGACAAGAAACCCGCTAAATGATTTCGAGGGCGTAAGAAAAGGCTCTGCCTCGCTTTCATCGATTTAAAGAAGAATTCTGAGTCAGATGAGACAAAAGTGGTGATGGAAGCTCTGGACGGTAGGGTGTTAGCTAGTCAGTATGGAAGGATCCTATTTAAGTTATATAACAAACTTTAACAAACTTCACCATTCCACAAAGACATTGAACGTACGCGTAACAAGAAGGGTTCGCCAATGAGATATCATCTCGGTAATGTTGTTTACAGCCACGGCTTTGAGAACGTTATACGAGAACAAGAATGAGATAACATGGGAGTGAACATCGATGACTGTAAACTACCGAATCTTCGCTTTACCAAGAGCGTTTATGTAACATCAAGCATTATCCAGACGGAACGAATTCTGTCTTCTTTGGACCATGCATACGCAAAGAATGGCCTTCGAATTTCATTACGTCCCAATGTTCATGAAGAACAGATTTGTTCCTATTGCCCTATTCATACTCGACAGGAAAAGCACCTCCTAATTCTTTAGCTATTCACGTCGATCGAGAAGTCAGCTTGATGAAAGGCTCAACTGCGGAACTCTGCAATAGGAAATGAGCCGCTAGGAGCTTCCATGATTATCGATAATTTGGCAAAAAGGAGAAAAAAATTAACTGTGCGACCATCTTTTCTACTCTGATTATAGGAGGACAGGTTATATAGGTGATACGCTAGGATTAAGAGCCATATATCTAATGTAGGGACTACGTTCGCAAAGGAAAAATTAAACCATAAAAGGTTTGGCACGGACGAATCCCTTAGCGATATGTCATGCATTCACTTCCATTCACAACATCGTGTAGTGATTGAACCCATATGTTCAATACCATGACTAGCGGGTTCTTACCGATGAAGCAGGTCGGTGTTTATATCTTCCCAGAGTATTCCTGTATCAAGAATTTAGTTTGTCCCGGGTACCTCGGTGAGATGGAACACTTGGATTGCCCTGGGAGCGAGGATGAACCAAGGACCACGTGAGAATTGTAAATTTCTAAACCGCCTCCCTACATGCGCATGTGAGACATAAGACAAAAATTGTTACGCAATAATAAATACGAACTTGAAAGTTGAATTGAAATCAGTCAGATTTAGAGACGGTTTTGAAACGTTTTCGTATGACCCGGTCAAAATGGGAGTGGCTAGAATTTCGAGGTTAACTAGGTCAAGCACTGATTACTGGTCGCCCGCAACAAAACTAATAGCGATATTATCACAAGATTGATTGACCAGGAGATGTCAACTGGGTCAGTCGAGAAGGCTGTGTGGCATTGGGAATAGTGAAATTTAACAAAGGTCCCATTTCGATCACATATGCTGCAAATAGTGCAGGACTTTAGCGGAAAGATTTGAGTAGTTGCGGAAGAAGTTTCTAGCTGAGATATATTTATGGTGTGCAAAGTTAATTAGGTCTATTGCGCCGTCATCCACCAATCAACTAATCGCTGCAATCTCTGTCGTCTTAAGAGAATCATGATCGCAAAGCTGCAAATCTCCTTCCGACCCTCAAAGACCAGTAACTGCCTTCAATAATCACCATGGAACACCTATCTTCGAAATTCAAGGGAAAAAAAACTCTCGGCCAAAACTAGGATGTCAATGGAATGACAAGGTGACAGATCTTCAAACCGCAGCCTAGCCTACACGTGAACGCGATTACGTGTATGGGCACGCTTGTGGTAAGACAAAAAGAAAAAAAGAAAGTAGAAAATGTGCCGAAACGTGCCATGTGAGTGACAATTTCTAAAAAGCTAAAAATTTTGTTTAAAAAACAACTATGATTTCGAATACCATGAAAATTATTTTCACAGGTGTACCCATTCTAGCCAAGATCGTTGGCAATTTGAGAACACTCACGATTACCATGTGCAGATACAAAGTGTGAGACTAAGACCATTCGAAAAACGAGCATCTTGTAACCATCTTGTAACTTAGCATTCTACGTCTTGTCGTTCTATCGACGAGCGATGTTTTAAAAATTTAAACTACGAAAATGTGGCAAAGTGATAAAAGGGATAAATGAGCTTGAAAGTGGTAACTGGGATCCGCACTGGACTGATACATTACTATTCAGAACAGTAATTACATATTGTCCCAAAAAAACCTTTTGATTTTAGCCTTCCAGTTCGTATATATACATACATCAATACATACATATATATATACATATTCCATTCTCTGAAGACATTTTGAGAGCCATATTAGCTGTTAAAGACTTATACTAAGAAGTAATTTTGGAGGTTAAAGAAAGGTGTCATACGGTTCGCCAAAAAACGGTGAGAATGCTGAGTAGTGCACGGCTTCGTTTTCCAGTTTTTTCAACTTCTGCATTCATAGCTTGGATGACGTGTTACCGAGTTCCATCCTACAGCAAAACTATTTCATTCTGACTGTTTAGAGCTTCACTGCATATGTTTCAGTTTTAGATGATTCTTGAATATTCTAATGCAATTTGGTTCTTGGAAGTATTTCAGTGATTCGTTTCTGTGCAGCACTGCGCAAAACCTTGTCAGTTGTACAGATCCACTTTTCTCGTGGCAATCTGCAAACGGATCGTTTTTGTTGCGCGAAGGAGTCACATAACAACCCTCATTACGGCGATTTCCTTGAATTTTTCTCAGTTCATGTGATACACAGTGGTCGATTTTGCTTCTGGTCGAGCTCAGAATTTGGCTGAGCTCTGTATTTAGCTACTTCTGTGCCAGCTGCTAGTTCTTCCACATCCCATCGAGAAGTTGTGCGATGGTAACTGCTTCAGCTGACGTCCTCAAGTGGTCATCACAGCTGTCTGCGCTCTACCTTCTTCATCTTGAAGACTATGATTTCCACCATCGCAATTTTGAAATCAACGTTGTACAGTACGCCTATTTA